TATCTCTACTGTACCGTGAACTTGATGGGGGAGGGCTGTGATTCACTCGCCGAGAAAATTTCTTGTCCCGTTCGTCTTCCCGATTTGTCTAAAAAATAAATTCAACAAGATGTGTTTATCCAAGACACATGTAATGGAACTAGTGTATGTTTAAATAGTTATGTAAAAGACGATAACCTCATCTTTCTTCTGCTCTTCTTTCTCTAGTTTGATCAGAGAGGATGGCTGCTCCGGCTGTGGGAGGTAACCTTTGTTGTTAATAGCTTCGAACAGCTTATCAACAAATTGCTGGGTCTCTGAAAAAGAATGAACAAGTGTAAATGAAAAAATGTTCAGATACATATAAGTACACCGAGTGACATGATAACTTAAATATGAGGGCTACAAAGTAACTTTTACCTTTCTGAAGAAATACATCCAACTGGTCTATACAAAGGGCTTTAAGTTCCTTTTCAGTTTTGTCTTTCTTCACCAAAGCAACAACATACTTGGCGAGGGCAGAAGGGTCTGCATCACAACTGGAATTATAAAAACAATCCTTAAGACACGAAAACATAGAAATACTTGAGAGTTTGATGATAGCTTTTTTTTTATTTTTTAAAAAAAGGTGAGGATAAGTTGCACACAAACTACAGCATTATGGACAAGTCATGGCATTTCTACATTGGGTGTATTGTGAGTTTGCACGAACCAACATTAGCTTGAATAATTCCAACTGAGCTAAACTGTATTAGGAGGACAGCTATGTGGCTCACAGCTAACTGTACTTACATGGGCTCGAGGGTTTCAGACAGCCATGTTTTCAAGGCATCGAGGTTTTCAATGATCATCTTAGATCCAGCCGTTCTTCTCCTCCACCACGGCCACAGTTAAAGCTAGCTCGGCTGATGCTATTTATCTGGATAAAAGGACAGCCGACATTAGCTGATGAAACCAGCCACTTCAGTAGTCTTTGGCCAGGCTGTGATGCTAAAAGCGACGTTGGCCGAGCTGCCGCGATAACGCTGGTTAGCTTAGCTGAGTTAGCATACGTCTTTCCAGGCCCCAAACGTGCTGCACGACCCCCCGACTCTGGTAATGTATGTATTCTCTTGCTGCAGACGAAGCTGGTCTGTTGCCTCTAAACGCTGAACTTACTAACTCATAAGTCTGTAACTGATTTTAATTCGTTTAAAAAAAAAAAGTAGCATCCACGTTTTAGTTGCTACTTCGTATCCTCTCAATAGTTACTATTCCATGGCGATTATTTACTTCCGCTTGTGTTCTCGTTGGAAAAATCGCGAACAATCGAAATCTCGCGACAACACAGTCGCTCAGCTCGAGTTCTCATCCCTCCTAAACCAGAACTAATTTAAAATCACACATTTACTAAGCACCAGACAACTCTGTACCCGAAGTCCTATTTATTTATAAGAAATGTCAGAGAAGTATATTTTTATTGGAGACAAAGCTGACATGAAAAGTATGAAGGTGAAAGTATAAAGATAAATGTGCAACAATAACAAGATCAAGCTGTGTTTTAAAATCTGAGATTTAGCCGTGATTTACAGGATCATATCAGATCATGTTTCCAAAACTCAAGCAAGCAAATTTATTTATATAGCACCTTATCATACACAGAGGTTATTCAAAGTTCTGTACAGGCAATGGCAAATAAAACATGTAATTAAAATTACATTAAATACATATAATTAATCATATACAGTACAGACAAGCTGAATGAAGTGCACACAGATTAATAAAATATTTTGAATGGATCTAAATCATGACAAGATGGAAAAAAAATACAAACATGTGGGAGATAAAGTGTACAATAAAATAGAAAGTGAATAAATTAAAATTAAGGGAGTAAAAGAGCAGAACACTTTAATAAAGCTACAGGCTGTTAAGAAAAGCATTTAATAATATATCATCCCTGTTTTAGTCTCTTTACACCAACTCCTAGTATGTTTAGGATGGATTTTAAGATTTTACTGATGGCCGTTATGGACTCTCTCCCAACCATATTTCTGACCTTTCAGTGCCACATGTACCGATAAGCACTTTGAGATCCTCTGGCAGAGGTCTTTTGTTTGCTCCAGGGGCCAGCTGAAAACTAAAGGGCAAAGAGCATTTACAGTCTGAGGCTCTACAGCGACCTACCTTAAGAAATCTGGCCAGCTGAGTCAATGATTTGTACCTAAAGGATACATTTATTCAAGAGCTTTTTCTGATTTTATTTGAGTGTTCATTTTACTTGAATCATCTTCAATTTCTTTCAATTAAAGTTTCTACCATTCCTACCACTGAATTGTTTTACTATACACAATAATGTGTTTTTATCTGCCTTTTGAATCCTTATTTTAATGATAAATAATCATTTTAATCATTTTAAATTTGAATTATTTTATGACTTGTCTGTTTTTCATTGCTGCCTTGTGAGGTGCTTTGTAACTTGGGAAGTGTTCCACAAATAAGATTATTATTGAGATTTTGTTCAATTTAGCTCAATATTCCCTTGAAATGTTCTGCATTTGCAGGACTTTTAGATGTGGCAAGTGTGACTTTGATACACTGCTGAAGGATTAAGGAATCAAAGAGCTTCACAAAAAGACAACAAGCACAGTTTTTAAAGTAATTAACTTCTTTTTTTATTGCTTTCCAGTTTTACTGGAACTACAGTTCTACAAACGTAGAGACAAAAGAGTAGATAAATACAAGAATTTATAACAGTGTTTCCATTTTTCCTTCTTTCAAATCTGTTTGATCCTTCAAATTGACACAAACCAGCAACTCGTCACTTCTCTTTATAACAAACTGTTTAATAACGTACTTTTTCCCTCTTAAAAAAAACAATGTCACTAATAATGCTGGTAAAATACTTTCACACAAACAGCACATAAACCAAAAACCCTTGATGACCTTGCGTGAAACAGATACAAATTTCATTAGTTGAACAGTTTTACTTTTTGATTTACTTAGTTTATAATGGTTAATTCATTAGTTCTAACTCACGTGATAATCAAAATATGGTTTACTTTAAAAAGCTAAAAGCTAACATGAAAGACAATTTTCCTACAAATATATAGGTTTACATTAAAAAAAAAAATAGTGTTTTCTCTCAGTTAACTGTTTTTATTGTTTCATGATATACAGTACATGGATTAAAATCATGTAATGCCTCTTCAGTGAATGAATGTTCTTCATCAGCCAGAAACAAAGCAACCTGTTGAAGTATTTTGGTTTTCAACACAAACATCATAATCATGGAATAAAGCTCGTTATATACAGCTCTGCAAAAGACAGCTCATAGTCAGTACATTCACAGCTGCCCGTTGATATTCTCAGTGAATTGAGTTTTCTCGGACTCAGAGGAAACAGTGTGAATATATATTTGTGTGTGCACACATTATAACATACATGCATGCACAATAATATAAAAGAAGACAGTTAGAGTACGCAGATTAGACCATTTTTCCACTCACTATTCTGAACAGGGTGGATGAAAGTTGTAACAGTTTAAAAAAAAAAAAAAAAAAAACTGCAGTGGTTTTCACTAAGTTCAAATAATGTACATAAAATAGTTTTTACAGCTTGCATTATTTATACAGTATTTGTGTGTCCTTGTCACTAACGAACAGGTAAGACACATCTCTTGCCTGAGTAAAACCTCAGTCTCAGCTCAGTATCTAAAACAAAACAGTGGAAAGTGTAACTAAAAGCAGTGCATTTAAAATATCTCCGATAATGAATCAGCACTTTAAAAACATCCAGTACATTAGACCTTGCAGAGAAGAGTCTAGTTTTCCCTGTCGGTGAACTGCAGGTGGATGGGGGCAGCAGGGCAGAGCAGGCCGTGGGTTTTGGCTTTGACATCAGCGGTGAGCGGAGACATGCTGATGTGGAACTTTTGAATGAGCTGTGCAGGGAGAAGAAAACACAACAACATCTTATTTTAACAATCATACAATTATCACTTATACAAATCTGGTTATGTATCCTCTAGCCACAAAGATCAACAAATTTTTAAAAAATATTCCAGGATTGTGAGAGCTGTATGATTTAGGAGAAGTGAGAAGTGAGTCACTTAGAAATCTTTCAGGGATTTAGAGGAAGTTGAGGTGGGGCTGAGGGATACTTGGTTGTTTTTTGTGCTGGTGTAGAGCGGACCAAAAATGTATACTGTTTAAGCCGAAAAACTGGCAATTTACACTATGGTATGATATAAAGCAGTGTTTTGTTAGTGATTTAGACAATGAAGGTTTAAAATGAGTTGTTTTTGTTGTTGTTGTTGTTGTTGTTGTTTTTTAATCCCCTACCCTTGTGAGAGCTAGATGCAATTCCAGCTCTGCTATTCTCCTGCCAATGCAGCTCCTGACACCATAGCCAAAGGGAATCGAGCCAAAGTTGTCGACACGATCTGTGGTATCTTTCCGTATCCAACGACTCGGCCGGAAGTCTAAAGAATCCGCAAAGTTCTCCTCATCCAAAGACGTGGAGTAGTGACACAGGGCCAGCTGAGTCTGACAATGTGAGCAAAGGGGAAAAAAATGTAAGTTGTGCAATGAAAGCAGCTGGGCTGTTGCACATGCATCCATACATGTGGGACAAACAGAGAGATGTGTGCGGTATCGTGTTACATCTGGTTCCACTGTAATGTTTTTGGCTAACTTATACAGTCACACTTTTTCTTGCACACTCTAGAAGTGCCTCCATCAGTCTTACCCCTTTGGGGATGAAGTATTCGCCGACCACCAAGTCATCCTGGGTAATCCGCCCGTTGCCTGGGAGAACTGGAAAAAGCCTGCTCCCATGGAGATACACACAAAGACCACTATTCACCAGTGCTATACATTAATCTTTTCACAAAGTCTGCTGGAGATAACCAGACAAGTGAAAACCATGCACAGGGACAGACCATTAACAAATTAAGAGATTTATGTGAACATATTGAACAAAGTCATTTTTAAAGTTTATTAAACTATTGCTGAGGTGTTTCTAGAACTGTAAGTAAGAGCAAAACCAAAAAAACTGACAGAAAATGTGAGATAAAAATATATTGAGTGTAAAAAAAAAAAAAAATCAATGCATTCTGTACCTGAGAGTCTCTTTGACCAGACCTCTGATGAGAGGCAGACGAGGGACATCGTCAGCTGTGGCGACGGTTCCAGGTCCCAAAGTCCTTGTAACTTCTGTATAGATTTGTTGCTGTACATGAGGGTGTCGTGCTAACAGGTAGCTAGCCCATGACAAAGTGAAAGATGTCTAGATATGAGAAAAAAAAGGGGGTATTTTTAAGAAAAAAAACATTACATACATTGCTATTTGAGTGTTTGTTGTGTCAGTGTTATTCATTAGCTCTTCCATTAACTTTCTGTGGAGATGTTGCTCTTTTTCTCAATATTCTGCAACTGCAATGCAAGCTGATATAAGAGCTTCTATATTGTTGCGCAAGTGTTGAGAAACAGCAAAGGGGGCTTCTGACAGAGAGGGGGCTAATTCCACATGCTGGGCAGACGCTCAAGTTCACTCCTCCAGCTGCACTCTCAGCCCTTTATCCCTCTTCTTACATCACTCGCCCCTCTGATCCACTCTCATCCAACTATACCTTGACTAAATGCACTTATGCCACACATAAAGTAAGCAGCTTCTATCTAATGCAACGAGAAAGTAGGAAATAATCCTAACTAATTGCCAATCAAATAAATGGCATCACAAACAACTTCACTCTTTTTTTGGTAATTCTTCATCGTGTTATTGCCCAATCCTGCAGCCCCTCTCCCTCCACAGTGGGCTAACACTTTCCAGACTTCTTGTGTTTTTCCTTTTCTCATCAAAGATAACTTTTTTTCATCCTCTTTTCAAAACCACCCTACCTACTCACGTCTGTTATCTCATCTTTCTCAATTGTCCCAGCTCCCTTTGTCTGACTCACATTTCACTGACATTTTCATTTCAGTGAGGCGGGCAGATGCCCAAATGATATGAAAATGGGTTTCATCTTTCCTATATTCACATCCTCGCCTGTGTTTTCTGCCTGGTTGCCTCAGCCCACATCTGACATCGTTTCCTGCTATCCTGTCTATCTTTCCATCCAGCCCCCTCACTTTTCCACAAATGCATTTCATTGTATGAGCAGATATCAGAGGAACAGTCTTGTTTTTGCTAACATCAGACCTACTAGTTCCCCAAAGGTCCCTCTCAGGTCGGCATCCTTCCGGTGGACCAACTAAAGAGTTACAGAGTATCTACTCTTGTATATTCTCCCCCATCCTGTTCATTGTGGTGTCTTTCACATCCTCTTCCCCCTACCCTTCCACACATTCTCCCTCCCACTCTGTCATCGTTCTCTCCCCCCATTGCAACCAACTTGCTCCTAATCAACCCCAGCTGGCACAGATGCTGGCAATGCCTCAGACAGAGCCAGAGAGGAATCATATGACAAAAGCTCATCCAAGCACAGTTCTGAAAGGCTGAGGCCTCTCCGCTCCATTCCCTACCATCTCCTCTTCATTTCCTAACATCTATTGTACACCCAGCTCTTTCTTCTTCTCCTTCTTCCTCCTTATTATGCCAAATTCCCTCCTTGCTCTCACCCCCTCCTCGTCTCACCTCTGCCCAGACTGTGCTATAACTCTGGCTGTGGCTAACGCGTCTTGACAGCTCTTTGTGTGTGCCGAGTAAAGGCAAATGCACCACGGGGTCAGGTAATGGCTCAGCTAAGCCCACCCCCTACCAGGACGTGCCCGATTCAACAAGTTCAACGAAAACACACACACCCTTTTATCCCGTGGCCCCAAGCTCAGCACAAAAACACTCCGCTCCCATAATTCTCATTAATCTGACAGTACCCACAACAAATTAGGGCCCAACTACGAACATGTGCACGCAGGATGGACACAGATGCAAATGCGCACAAATGCACCAGACAACTTTGAGACAATTGTATGTGGTGAGTATTGTACAAAACCTGGCAGTAGAGTTTGTCAAACCATTTTTCTGTCTCTACATCCTGAGTCCAAAACTGAGCCAAGATGTTTGTTGTAAACCTCCTTTCCTATTTCGGAATTTGTTTTCTGAATGTAAGGTAAAAAAATATAATCCCCAAACTTACTCCATCAATGACATTAAACTACCAGCTTTAATTAAACTAACAGTCCTAATAATTTGCAAGTGCAAGGTGCATCTAATCCAGCTCTGATGTGGAAACATATGAACACACAACACAGATGTCTGGCAGAGGAAGAAAAAAAAAAAAGACAAAAGGCCCCCTGTGTAGATGTAACAGACAGAGACAAATGACAAGAAACTAAATCTGAGTGAGAACAAGTTTGTCAGTGGGATACTGTGTAACCCCCCGATTCACCGCTCTGACCTGACGCTGGCACAGCTACACAGGCACGGATGTGGCGCCAGAAACCCAACCCTTGAAACTCAACACCGACTCAGACGCGCGTACGTGCACACACACACACACACACACAAACACACAAACACACACACACAAAGAGACTCAGACACACACGTGCGATTCCACCAAAGCCCTCCACCTCGTGAAACTCGCTGCAGCTTCACACACACCTCTGCACGTACAGTTCTGTCCAGACAAACATGTACACACCGTGTCGACACCAGCCAGCAGCATCTCCGTTAGGTTGGCATAGATCTCCTCCAGGTTCATCTCCTTCGTAATGAGCATGTGTGTGAGCAGTCCTGCCTTCACCTCCTCTCCCCGCTGCAGCTGGCCCTTGATCTCTGCGAACCTCTTATCAACGTGTATAAGGCCTTGGATTAGACGAAGACAGATGGGATGAATGAAGTAAAAAAAAAAAAAAAAGGTTCCAGGAGAGGGGTTGAAGGAAAAGAAAGAGAAGAGTGAACAGGTTACGTAAGAGAGGGCCCTCATACTCCCACAATCCCATGGCACAGCAGTGGAGATTTATATGCAAATCAACATTCCTTTCTATTTATGTCAGGCCATTTGTCCGAAAAAAAAAAAGAAAAAAAAAGTTTGTAAGTGCTTCACTAGTTGAAAAAAGAAAAGTCTTATCTGACATGTTTACACATCTAAAACTATTTAGAATTAAATGTTTTAAAAGATAAACACATGAAAAGTAGCACATTTACATAAGGAAAATGACTAAAATCTATATATATGACTTGTAAAAACATTTTGATCACTCACAAAAAAAACAACATTGTTAAAGGGCATTACACCAATTTTAGACATGAACGTCAGTTTACCCGCCATGTTTATCTTCATCCTGTGACAGCAGCTATATAATGTCTTCTCTGGCTCTGAGGAAGCTTAGTCTAGTCTAATATATCTTGGCTTGAGCTTGTAGGCTACAAATTTAGAACAACGCCTCTGTAGCATCTAGCATTTTGGAGCTTGAACCTTACAAAAGATTATATGTCAACAAATTTCTGCCTCCTCTGCTTAATTTTTTTGGAATCTGCAGTATAAAAAGTACTGATGTACCCCTGTAATATGAAAGTATTCTGGCAAAGAGTTCACTGGAAATACATCGCAGTGGGAAAAAAAGAAAGTTTACGTCACTCTCATGTTCAAAAATTCTAAGCTATAAACTTACTGAATTTGAAGAGGCCATCCCAGGAGTGACAGAACTCCTCCCATGGTTTGGGGAGGATGGGCCGGAGCCACTTGGGGATCGCTCCGGCATACATTGTCGTCTTGAAGGAGCTGAACATCAGGTTCAGTGCAGTGATGTAGTCTTGGGTTTCCTGGGGAATGTCATTTTCCAAACATCCTAGCCTGCGCTCGTACAGGATAGCAGCCACAGCTGTAAAGACAAAGAAGAACAACAGTGTCAGTGCAGCTGGAAAGCTGTGACAAACTATGACGCATCCTTTCTTTCCTGATCCAAGCATCCCTAGAATTCTCATTGTGTATATCAGTGGCTTGCACATTTTTGCACAGAGGTCACTTCAGCAGTTGTCAATGGACTTCCAGTGTTGAAATTTGAGAGAAGTGAATAAAATTATCAATAAATACTTCTCTTTATTACCTATTTCTTCTTACTCTTCCTACTTTTTGATGGCCTCACTGATCTCTTCCCCCCATTTATGCTGCCCCTGCTGTATTGTTTTCAAATCCATCCTGCTAAATGTTAAATTAACTTTTGAAGAATCTTTACCAACCTTCCATTGCATATTTGAAGAAGAGGTCATTCACATTAAGTACAGTCGCTCCATCAGACTGCTCGGTGCGCAAACATGAGACTCTCCTGATCAGATCATCCACCACTTTGTTCACGTCATCAGAGAAGAATGCTACATCTCGAGGGCGCATGATGAGTTGTCTGAGCACGCTGCGCATCTTCAGCCAGTCCTCGCCCTCACTGAATAAAAGGATCCATGCAAAAAAGTGAACCGCTTGGCCTTCCCTTTGATTGTTTTACTTTTATAAAAGACATTCACAGACACGTGGAGGAAAAAGCCAAATTCTTATTAAGAATGATAGTGGTGGCTCTGTTGAAAAACTGCATGTTTTGACAATATACTGTTTTATTTCAGCCTTTAGATACAAAAGCAGTTCACGGACAAGCAAAGGGCATGTACACTAAATGCAATCCGGATTATGTTATTGCCAGGGTTCAAGGATCAACGTTTAGTGGGAACTCACGCTGAGATGAGGCCAGTGGAGCGTCCTCTCAGGTCTCTATACTCCTTCCAGGACTCCATGTTAGCTCTCTGAGGGGCCACACCCTCGGCCCTCAGCACCTGAGCCACCAGTTCACGGTCCGCAACCGAGACCACCAGTTGGGGCCCAAAACGAGACTTGAAAATTTTCCCATACTTCTTCCTGTGCTCCATCTATAAAGGAGTAGTGACAAGAAGTCATTTACGATGACATTTCTTATTTTATTTGACTTTGATACAAAAGGGAGATTGCAGCAGTAATTTCAGTATAGGACAGACACAACTTTTCAATTGTATGTTTCTACATAACAATGACTACAGTGTTTGTTTGTGTAATGCAATTATATCAAACTAACAGAAACTAATGTTGAAACACATTTCACCAGACCAGTGTTGTATGCTGGTGGTGTCACCAGATTTCTAGTATAACTGGTCCATCAAAATGCATTGTTTTTTACCCACCAAAATAATGTCCAAAATTACATTTATCAAATTATTGTTATCACAAAAATTGTGTGAATGCCATTCTACAACTTTGGCAAAGCCTGTGGAAAACAGTATGGTGTTGCACACAGCTGGATCTGATTTCTTTTAAAGAACTCATTAAAAGACAAAGCAATTAAAGAAGGCTGTTGGTGTGCCATGATTTATGTTCCACCTTTAGTCATTAATTTGCAAATACTAATTTAAAGTAAAACTTCGAATTAGGATATATAAAAATGTGGTAAGCAAGTGCTCTATATGACAACAATTTCTACATCCCCAAGAAGAAATCTGCAACAATTCTTGGGTGAAAATGATATTTGGAATAATGACTATTTACTTGAATAAGTGGGACTAAGGGGAAAAGAATACCAAGAAGGTTTTATTTGCAATTAATTTGGAAATTTACATTTTTTTAGAACGATGATTTGGTAGTCATTCTCACAAGAGAAAGTGAAAGAGTTGGCACAAGTCTTGTTTTGTCACGCATCCTGAAACCAAATTTGGCCAATTGGCTAATTTGCACATTTCCCATCTTTAAGCTTTGAAGACAAAAGAACTGTGGACCAAAAGGACCAAAGCCCTCTGTGACGACATCGTTTGCTATATCTTGTAGCCTAACGAAGAAAGGCACTTTAGGTGTTTCATGTAAATCAGGCTATTGCAAAATTCATTCTCTGGAGCGAGAACTTGAGCAGTACACCCCGAACTACTGATGCGCTTTTACGCAACAGTCCGTGCCATTTTACGCAGGTAGGTGACAAATTTGGCTGCCGCTGAAAATACATGGGCTCGTTGCCATTCATAGAAACAAGAAAAAAACTTTGAAACAAAACCAGATAAAGTACAAATAAAAAAACAAACAAACAAACAAACAAGCAAACAAAAAAACCCGCCATACCTGAATTTCATGGATTCTGCTAAAGCCGTCTCTCCAGAAGAACTCGACCAGATTGGACAGCGTGCTGGGTCCCGGCATGTCCTTCAGGTTCTTGACTCTGGTTTTCTCGCCCACATCTGCCGGTGCAATCAATCTATCAGGTATGGGCTCCTCTCCAGTGGTGGAGATCCCCAAAGCCTCGCTGGCTGCTGACTTGTGTAAGGCGCGTAAAGCGTAAAGCAGCTGCTTATTTAGCCGGTCGCTTTGAAAACTCTTCCAGCAGGTTGTCGTCAAATGATTCAAGATTGCCATGGTCAGGACGCTTCCCGGCGTTTCTGTGAGCAAAGAGCGATATGCGATTGACTCCTTTGCAAAGTCTTCAAAGCGCAGAGTTCACATCTGCAAATGCATGTTCCCAGCACGTGTAAACGCAGCCCTCCCTGTGTGTGTAGTGTAATGTTAGATGGGATTGTATTATGTAGGCTTTTAAATAGTTGCTTGTACAACCTCAGCGACACAGGATTGGATGGTGGCGTAAAAAGAAGGCAGGGATAAGTCTGTATTCGGGTGTGGGCGTTTCTTCCCCCAAAAAAACTACTGGGTTCACGCTTTCAATGGAAATGGGCGCAGTGCAACGTGCTAAAACAAAGTTACATCACACCAATCAATCACCCTACGTGAACTCACATACCCCACCCCCAGCAGACACCCACCACCCACACACACACACACACACATACACAGAGGGGAAGTATAATGTGATAAATGTCATATGTAGCCAAATTACATGATGGAATTAGTCATACAAAAAAAAGAAAAAAAAAAGTAGAACCCCACCCACAGCTCATGCAAGCACATCTAGAGGTGAGTTCACAAATCCTCAGCTGTTTAAACATACACATATCTAAGTGGTCAGTATGTTACTGTTTAAAAGTTATATTTTATGAAACACTGACAGACTTTATGCAAGCCACGGAGACAGAAAGTTATCTAAGTCTAGGGCTCACATGCATGAGGCTATATATTTTTTTAAGCTGACAAAATATTACAAAATAAATGTTCAGCAAAGGGAACTTATTTACACCAGACTAGGAAAGTGCACGTGTTTAAATGAACTTGCGTTAAAGTTTTGGAGTGGATCTTTTTTACTGCTAATTTTACACCTTAAACCTGTCACTGTTTTTAAACTTTTTACCTTTGTTTCTTTTCTTAAACGTCACAGGAGTGCTCAGCTCTTCTTAAAACAACTCACAGGCATTCATTTCAAGGATATAAATCAGCTTATGTCTACTTAATGTCAAGATGTCCTGGTTCAAAGGGTTTTGGTTTTTTTTTTTTTTGGTTTGCAGTGTCTCCCTCTTTACTTAGAAGACACGAGAATTAAAATCTGCCTCATGACTTCTCTCTCTTTCTCAGCCAAAGGCCAAGTCTTGAGTCATCAGAGGACACCAAACTGTGACTAAGCAGGCTGGGGCCACATTCTCTCTGTAGAGGTAAACGTTTTGGGGGGATGAAGCCGTTTACGATTTGACATGATCTCGGATTTCACGGTTCGTCGAAACACTTGTTGGATTGGTTGTTACAGCAACATATCCGAAAGGTCAAAGCAGCTGGGCAGCAGAGGGTCCATTACGTCTCTTAAAAGATCCGAGATCAGCTGGCTGATCCGGGATCTGCTGGCCTTTAAAAAAAACCACATGAGAATTCATGGTAAAATAACTGGATTCAGCTATCTGATAGGAGGATGTAATACTGGACACCATGATCAGGCATGACAAAGGAGAGGGTGCAGTTTTTCACCCCAGTGGAGCAAACGCTTAAAGGGCAATGAGGAATTTGATGAGTCACAGGAAAGGTGACACTGCAAAAGCAGCAAAAACAAAAGAGGAGGGGTGACAAATTTAACACATAATAATACTCCTCCTGCTGAAATACTAATGTTTTTATACTGTGCTTTTCTACTTCAGCAAACAGACAAGAAAAAGAAACAAAACTTTATAGCAGCAACAGGCTTCAGCAAATGAAGGCCAGTGGACTGAAACTGAAAATTTGTGTTAGAGAAACAGAGGAGAAATTTCAAACGCAGAAAGCAATAAAAAAAGTGTCTTCTTTTCAGTTGTTCATCCCTCTGACAGCGTTTGAGTGGCTACTGCCTTAATGATTTTATCATTTATTATTTATTATATAGACTCAGAGCATGCAGCAGCACACTAACACATACAACAATAAAATACAAAAATATATGCTTTAAATGGGCTTCCCCCCCCTCCAACTATAAAAGGTCACAGAGCCAAAGTTTATCTTTTTTTAAGCAAATACGAAAGTAGTAGAATCAGCAAAAAAAAAAAAAAAAGGTTTAGGACTATCTGGGTCAGACTTAATCCCAGCTAAGGAGCTGACTATCCACCAAATTATTAATCCATCCACACTGCCATTGGCACATATTGGTTGGACTATGATTTGTTTTGGTAATGGTAACTTCACATACCACAAATTTTTCACTATTTTCATGTTTCACCATGCCGAATGGACCTTCCAACAGCTTGCTCCTCTGTATGCTGTTTTTGAGCCATGCTGCATTTATTTTATTGGTCCAGTTTGTTGTCCCCCCCCTCCCCTCCCCTCTCATTCTTCTTACTTTCCCCTCATTCCCTGATGTAGGGGATACGTCCCTTCCTAATATTTAAAGCACATGGATCTGTCCCTCTGGTGCAAATTTTTATTTTCAAGTCACTATATATTGTGCCTGAATTAAGTTTTTCTTTACATAAATGATTACATTTTTAAAAATGATTCAGAAAAGGTACAAATGAGTCATTACAAAAATCACCAGAATGCTGGAAATTAAGTGTTTGATGTTCAAGATTTCCTTTAGGAAGAATCCTTCTTCATGTATGTAATTTCTTAATAGAAATAGCTTCAGTAAAATGTCATCAGACTTCTGCCAGTGCCTGAGGATGGCGCAGATGAGGAGGCACTGTGACTCCTTTTCTGGAATTTACGAGCACTTGAAATGCTCTTCTAATTATCAATGCAAGACAGACAGCCAGGGCATTTAATTCTGTCATTACATCTTTACATTGCCTGCACATGCTCCTGAGTAGGCATGATCTGGCAGATATATTTGTTACTGTGACAGCCATTCCAACAGATGTTTTGCAGAACTGAGAAATCTGGATCAGTCCAATCAGCAACAATTTAAACCAGCTACTCCACACACAGAACGGGCGCCCCAGGCTACTGTCTCTGCCATTTAGGTTGGATCGTGCCCTGTGGCCTTGCAAAAAGGGTGGCTGCGCAGACGTGGGTATTTTCCCATAATCGCTCTTTTTGCAGCTTGTGTAAGGCACCAGGCTGTTCTTTTTAGATTATCTTCAAGCCATCAAGAAGCAAAGGAAGTAGACCCCTCCACTCCCTCTCCACATTACTAAACACACTCCAGTCCACTTCACTCTCCATTCCTGGCATTTGACTCATGCCAAGGCCAAATAAAGCTCAAAGTTTTTTATCCTTTCAGACTCAAAGGGAAACAAATCTGGCCCCCATTATTTACGAGTAGTCACATGTTTTCTTTGGTTTCATTCATTGATTTTGAAAGTTGCCATGTTTCATTAGCTATGCCTTTTTCTCAGGAGGCTAACTTTAATTTCAGCTTCTTACAGCTACTGATGTAAAAAGGTTTTCCCTTATGACGTGCAAAATATCTGTAAAAGGATTGACGGATATGGGTTTGTTTTTAGGGCCAATACCAATGCCGAACTGACATAAATTAAATGTAATGTTTTAACAGCACATGACAGCAGAGAACCTGTCATTCATAACGAGACTTCTTCATAAATAAGGTTAACTATCACTGAATATGTAAAATAGAAATAGGAGTGATTAAATACAGACGCTCTCCTCTGTTTATGTGGGATAAACTGGCATTGATAAGTTTTTCTCCTGCAGTTACGTCTGCTGTTCTTCTCTGTTTTCTTAATCTTTCACTGTTCTATCACTTTCAGGGTAATTTGCGGCTGCCTTCTAACTTACCCACTAGCGTTTGCATAGTCTTAGCCACTGCGAGAGTAGGCACCGACATGTGTTTCTTGTTCAGTTTTGCAGTCTCTGCTTGAGAGACATTTTTGAGACAACAGAGTGACAACACAGAGAGAGAAGACGCTGCATCAGACCTGAAGTAGTGCATTTATTTGATCAATAATCGGTCAATAAGACTATCAGTACTGATAATCAGAAAACTGCCAAACGTCGGCTATGATAATCGGCCAGGCCGATAATCCTATCTATCTCTAGATGTGTCATTCTTTCATTGTCATTTCTTGTGAAACTTGACATTTTCTTACTGTGTGGCACCTTCTGAAAGCTAAAAAGTTCAAATATAAACTTGAACAAAGAAATTACAAAGCCTTTTTTTTTTTTGCAAAACATACTAAGGAATATTTTTAAAGAAGAAAATTACATAACAAAACACTTCAGTAGAAAAGAACATCAGTGGGGCTTTCGGGAACAGATTAATATTCATTCCAAATTTACAAATAGCTCTACTGATGTCCAGCATACATCCTTGAATTCATAGTTTTCAGTCAAGTTACTACTGACAGTAGATAAGACGTATGTCATTCCTCTCACTGCAGAGAGACTGAGAGGTGATCTGAAGGCTAACATCACTAAACTGACACAATTAGCCATCCACTCTCATTCTACGTACAGACATTTGTGGCTGGGAAAGCCTTAATACGCAGTTACAGGGTATCTAATCATTGCTCTGTTCACCAGACCACATGGACTCTGAACCTGCTGCTCAATACACACTGTTGCTCCCCAACTTTGTCCTATTGCCTCGTTACAACAGAGTAAGTTTTTAGGTGTCAGGGTTAAAGTCAGTGTATCTACTTTCTGAAGCGTTTGAACAGCGGATGGACACTCTTGCTTGCTGCGGAGGCTTTGCTGCCTCGGCTCTGATATTCCATGTAGATGGTGTCATCTGCACCGGACATGGAACTCATGGTGCCCATTCGCCTTGATACCTGATAAGGAAGCAGAAAGAGAGATAATAAAGTGAGAATAATGTGATATACGAAATATGCAATTTTGTACGAGATGTCCAAACTTGACAACAACTGCATGCGTTTTTTGAGTTCAAGTTTGGAGAAAGTTCTCACCTGTGGCCGAGCGCCCACCTCCCCTGCCACCACTTCCTCTTCAGCATCCAGGTCTGAAGCAGCGAGGACCTTTTGAAGCAGCTGCTGTTGATCATCTCTGGTGCAGAACATTAAGTCTTCTTCCTCCATACCTGCCAGCTTTGTGATCACCTGTGAAAGAAGAGGAACATGGCAACTGATTAATGGTGTTTGTACATGGAGCAAAAATGAGGTGGCAC